GTTCCCCCCCCCCCCCCCCCCCCCCCCTCCCCCGACCTGATGTTAGAATGCGCTCCGCTGCCTCTGGGGCTTCATGGTGATAGGAATCGATGGCGCGTGAATCGGAGTGTTGACTTTGGTTTTGGTTTTGAAACACATACTTAAGAATGACAGCTCTTGTGCCAGTGTTCACTGACCGACTATCTTATTAATGTTATATATAAAAATGAACTTGACAGGAATTTAATGCGATATGTTGCGTTTAAATGTTAGAGTCGTTTGGCCAGGACTTAATACATTACATATTACTTCTCTAAATAGTGGCAATCTAAATTTCTAACATGATCGAAATTATTTAACGATATCCAAATTATCCCTTGAGTATGGCGTCAAATCTGAAGATAAGTTTCGTTTCCTTCATGTAGTAAGAAAAATTGTAATCAAAGCGGCAGTCCGGAAATTATTCAGAAGGTATAACGGATGAAATCTTTCCGAAATATTTACACTTTGAAAAGTTTGGTTATGAGGAATGTCGCTTGGAATTCAGTCGTCGATCATCATATTACAATGTATCTACAGCGTTCATGGCAAGTTGTAGGACACCATGTCGCCAAAGGTTATTTTAAACATGCTCATAACTACACCGATTCCACTCATCGTTGCATTCTCTAATCTCAAACCAAATTTTATTATTAATCCTACTTGACAGGTGTTCGTTTTCAGAATCTTTCAAATTTTGAAATGGCTACGATTTATTGGTAGCAGGACTTAATGCTGTCTAATTGGTTCTTTTATCATGCTTTCTCGTGATAAACAGACAGAATTACCTTCATCACCATTATGATATGGATTCTAGGCATGTCGGATTAATGGGAATTTCAACTGATGAAACATTATAATTTTTGATGCTATAGCTTTGATTTCAGTTTTGGCCAATAAAGCGGAATATTATATTAATTCCTTGACCCACACTAACAAAGATGACCTGTGAACTCTATTAACACTGAATTGGGACATTCTAATGGCCACAGTTTTAATAAATATCGCATTTTCAGTAGACCTCAGGATAAAAATTCGAGCACGTTGCCTTCTCAAAACTAAGGTTTGGACGATCCACTCCCGATACTTTACTTTCTACATTCATAGGCAATTTTCTCTGTGAACTCTTTCAATATCATCACCGTTAATCAAAACTCGTAAGGTGATACGTGAAATGATAGTATTGATTGTGTGTGTTTGTACCTTTCTAGTTTTATTTGGACTTTTCTTGCTGACCAATGCAGAACATAGTAAGTGTATATATCTCGTTATAAATACCTGTTATTGCTTTGTGCATTGTATTTGACAGGTACTGATGCAATCGCTCTTGCAGTAATTGCACACTATTCTGCTTTGTTAAGTGAGTCTTGTTGGCATAAGGAGAAGGGCCTAAATATATGAATCAAACAAATGTGGTCGTTACCCCGTACACATTTTAGATTGTTGTTGTTTTTGTTGTTTTTTTCTGTTATTTTTGAAATTGGCATTAAAAAATACGCTTTAGTAGGTAGCTTTTGAATAATTGTCCGGTAACATAGTTATATTGAAGATATCAGTGACGTCACGAGCACTGTAACACGATGTCTTGGTTGGCAAAAAGCGACGACAACAAGGGAAATAATGAAGAATTCTGTTCTTCAATCGACTGTCCTTTTATTTCTGTTGAAGATTTCATTCTGAAACTTGACCAAAGTCTAATTTTGAGGTGCTCGTTCCAGTCGCGTCGATTATTTTTCCATCAAGTGAAAATCACAAGTTTCAAACGACAGTATGGTGGACTGTTTATGTCACGGCAAGTTACATGTACGGTCAAAACTCTGTTGTTTCAGAGCTGTCTTCTGAAGCACTTCAGCAGATTCTGATGTTTTATTTAAAATAATTAATATAACAATACTTCACTGTAAAAGTTTGAAGGAAATCCAGTGCTGACACAAATACCAAAAATCATGTTGGAAATTCAACTGCAAGTAAAGGTTTGACCTGCTTGAAAACTCTTTCTGCCAACCATACAAGCTTGGGTGATGTGATCGAAGTGACGTCAACGTTTGTAAGCTGATGTCGTCGTTATAGCTCTACGATATTATAAAATTATTCAATATATTTTAGTACAGGTTTGTTTGACGATTACAGGCATTATTTAAACTTTGATTTAACGCAATGTTTAAACGGAATGTTAAATTAATTAATTAACAGACACTGTGTGTCAAACGTTCCTTCGCCAAGTCATGTCTCGGTTAAACGCTCATTTGATCAGTACCAATCTATCTTTTAGTTTTTCCACTTTAACCATGATTACTGACAATTTTAGGGAAACCAACAAAAACTAACAGGAGCATTGAGGCCAAAACAAAATCCAGCGCTGAAGGCTAAATAAGCGCATATGTCATATCGCATATGTCATATTTCGAGATTTCTTTTCCATAGGTACTGTATGTAACAGCACTATAACTAGCTGGACTATTATTCCGTCAAGTTCCAGTTGACTATCTATGCATACGACTAAGCTAATGTTAATTTTACGTCTTATAGGTTGTAACTTTGATTATGGATTGTGTTCTAACTGGTCACAAAATTATTACCACGATGACTTTAACTGGACTAACAAGTACGGTTCGACACCTTCCTACAACACCGGGCCTTTCTCTGACCACACCGGATACGGTTAGTTACTTATATTGCGTAGAAGCCGTTCCTTCTTAGTAGAGAGTGAAACAGTATACAGTATTCAGTTACATTACAATTTGAAGGTCATTCCATAAGACTATTATATATATTTAGCATATATGTTTAAGTGTTCAGTGTTATTTACCTGACAATAACTACTTATCAATATACTTTTGATTGGTTTATCTTAACTTGTTTTGTTTGTAGGTAGCTACATGTATATCGAAACGTCAGCACCTCGACAATATGGGGAAAACGCCAAACTGGAATTTTCAGTGTCGAGCTCTGACATTGGGAAGTTGTCCTGCCTGAGGTTTTATTATCACATGTATGGGGAAACAATAAACACACTCAATGTCTACAATGGCAATACGGAAATCTTTACTAAATCGGGGAACCAAGGAAATGTATGGTTGTTTGCGAAAGTTACCGTGACTTTACAAAGCGAAGTAAGTTCCATTCATATTTTGTATTAGTATAATTAAATCTGCTAGCGTTCTATGACAAATGCCGTTCACTGATGGGCTACGCCACTCACTATATACTCACTGCAGCGTGGCAGTGTGCCATTGTTAACAAAATGATGGCCGCTTCGTAACTGGCATTTTCGAAGAGTCTGTGAAGAGGATTTCGATAAAGTTTTGAACGCCTAGTAGATTTATACTAAAACAATTAGGTTCAATTCGCTCTCGATTTCTATGCGTGCACGCATGCCATTCAGTGCATCTCATCACTCACGACCTACGGCACTCAAGAAGTCGGACACAGTTTTTCCCTATACGGACCTCCTGTCCGACAAAAAACATATCTTTACTAGCTACGTGTAATAATAAAAAACCAAATGACTATATGTCCAGACGCAACCCCAGGACAAACAAGGAAATGCCACGTTCATTGGTATTTTTTAGCAGTAAACGAAATAACAGCAGGTTACAAACTGGCTGTTTCCGCCCGTTTTGCCTCTATTTAGAAAGAAATTTTACTCAGATCTGGGCGATCCAACTGTTTGTGCAGATATGAATTTTCATTCTTTACTGTATGATACCATTAAATATTAAACACCTGTTAGTTTGGGCGTTGTAGCTTATTGTGATATGCCTAAAACACAGATACATGCACCATTCAAACCCGATGTACAATTCGTGTACAATTCATGTACAATACAATAAATGTCCTTTTATCCTTATTTAGATTACGTTCGAGGGGATTTGTGGATACTCCTTCACAGGCGACATTGCTATTGATGACGTATCCATTGTCGATGGAATCTGTCAAGGTACATCTCGAATTGTTGTCAGTTGTTTACCTTGGCTGTCTACATCGGCATCATTTATCAATGCATCGTTGTTCCTTTTTTGGATCCGCAAGCCGATGGCCGAGTGAATTCGCAGACAACTTTGACAATGTTATGACGAAATTCACTGTCAATATCAGGACAGACGCATGAAAAACTGACGTTAATTTGCTTTAAGAAATTCAGATTCTCTTCCACTTTTGCTCAGCGTTTCCTCTCGTCGGAATTCGCATGCGTGACTGTTTTGACTTTCTAATTCTATAAAAAAAAATACCAAAACAAATTGAGGCCAGGTTTTATGCGTCTGTACTATATATCTAGATCTTGTGAATCCAATTTGACAATATTATGGCTCAATTTATATTAATGAGAAGAGAGACTCATAAAAAGCTGGCCCTTATTTAAAATGTTTTCTAACCTAGACAATCAAATGTCAATAACGCAAAACAAATACTAAATATTATTATTATTATTATCAAATATTATTATTATTATTATTATTATTATTATTGTATTTTTAGACTGTACGGAAAACGTGAACCTATCCTTTGGGCAACTGGATATCAGTTATTCGGATAAATTTGACCCATACTGTAACTGGATAATCGGAGATGCTGGGATACCTCAGGCAGTTGCCATTATTTCCATCAACCAAATGAACTTCAATCACGGCAGGTACATACGTTGCTGTTTTATTTTGTTTTCATGTCCGCAATCCTGTAATGTAGTTATGAGAAATCAAATCATTTGTCGAATGGAAATTATTAATCTCAGCAGCAAGTAGCAGATCACTCAAATGCATCTACATTCAGATAAATTTGGCCTCGCTCCATCGAGTGTAGCTCGAGATAACAATGAGGCTCCAAGCAGTTTATGGAATGTGTAAGCGACGGTAAATCTTTTCCACTATGTCTTCTCAGTGATTACCTCAAACTGTTTGATGGAAATGGGACCGAGGTTTTTGCCAGCCATGGATGGGAGTCCACGTCATCTAACAAGAGTTTGCAGCAAGTTCCCTTTGAAGAGTCCAAAAATATCACCATACAAGTTTCTCTGGTTCACCCGTCGAGCTATGTCAAAATTGATTACGGCATGTTGAAGGAACCACTGGCATTAGGTAGGGAAACAAGTTTCCTGTCGTATGCACGAGTTTTTCCTTTGTTATAAAATCAGGTATTCCATGTCCCCGGGAGGGGTGGGTGGACGGAACTCCCTTGTATGGGCTAAATAGGTATGTGCGGCGGCCCCAAAGGGTAGGGTTTTTCAGCCGTTTTGGTCATAAATAGGGAATCGATTTTGGTCATTTTGGTCTTAAATAGGGTATGGTTTTAGCACTCTAGTCTTGAATTGGGTATGTTTCTTAGAAGAAGCTACTTTTTCATCATTATCAATAAGAACGTCAACTCAAGTTTAGGGTAACTGCGCCAGCCGCAACGGTCATAAATAGGGTATCGAATTTTTGTTCAGGTCATAAATAGGGTAGGGAAAATCGCAGATTTTTGGTCATAAATAAGATAAGGGTTTTGGGAAGTGGGCCGCACACACCCACCCAACCTTTCTGGGAGTACCACCCCGGGTCCATGCCACAACGGCTATGGCTTCCTACGTCTCCTTTTGGCAGATCAAAATGGAATCTGGAAATGCTGATATCTATATACCTTCATCACGGGAAAAAATTCTTCATATTTTTGTTAGTTTCGTGGATTTGAATCATTTCCCAAAAGCGGCAAGTGATTATTTTTATTTGTTTGAACTGCTGTTTGAGAGATATAGCTAACTTTTAATAATAACTTCTACTTCAGCTTCCCTTCTGGATGGTTGGAGCGTAACTCTTGTAAGCAAAACAGCACAAAGTATCGGGATAAGCTGGAGCAGCCCGACCAGTCTTCTCGATGGTGGAGTTCGTTTTTATGTTGCCCTTGCCAGCAAGATTAACAGCAGCAGCGAGCCACTTGAAGAAATACTGGCTGAAAATATAACAGCGTCGGTGATAAGCGACCTTGATGAATATACGGAATACAAAGTTAGTGTTGTAGCTGTGGACGGCGATGGAACGCCGTTCAAAAGTGCAGAACGTTTAGTCATGACCGATGAAGGGGGTAAGCCACGCCACTAACTGCTATCTGCCACTATGTTAATTGTTTTTCTTGACTAAACACCAAAGCAACCGTCCGAGGAACAAATCTTTCCATGTGCATTGTTTTTCAGTTCCGAGTAGTGCGCCAAACGGTATTCGAGTGACAAGCTTTGAGTTGACATCCGACCTTCTAGTGGAGTGGAACCCTCTTTCGCAGCAGTACGTCAATGGTAAACTCTTAGGGTACACAATCTATTACCGAGATATCAACATTGTTTCGTCAACAAATCGAAGTGTCAACACAAGCAGTCCTTACTCTACACAAGTCACCTTGACAGGACTTAAGCACGCACTCAAGTACCTCGTCGCAGTGGCCGCTTTTACGTCCAAGGGAGAGGGACCATGGTCGTCCCATGAATACGCTATCACAGGTATGTGTCGAATGATTGTTTTCACAGTAAATGGTTTGAACCCAGGAGTATCAGTAGTTCGTATAGTGTGATCGTCCGGGTGAGTGTAGTTCTGAAAAGAACTGTTGTTGGTGACCGACGTTTCGACAACCTGAGTGGAAGTCATCTTCAGAGTCAAGTGAATAGTGTTTGTCAGTCGATGATGTTATAAGTCTGGTCTGTTGAAAGTGATTG